ACTTACTAAAATGCAACCGTAAATCAAGATATGGTACAGGCATAAATACAGCCCTGGGTTGATGGAACACAACAGAGCGGAGACCATTCAATGGGGAAAAGTGATCTCAACAATGACACAGGGACGCCTGGATACCCACATACAAAGGATGATGCTGGACTTCTACTTCAAGTCCTATGTAAAAATGAACTCAGAGAGCTAGAATTAAAAAACTGTTAGAAGAAAACAGAGAAAAATATTCATGACCTTGGATTTTAGCAATGGATTCTTAGATATGACAACCAAAAGCATGAACAACAAAAAGATAAAAATAAATTAAACCTCATCAAAGTTAAAAACATTTTACATCAAAGAACATTATCAAAAAAGTGAAAACACAACTGACAAGATGGGAGAAAATATTTGCAAATCATATATCTGATAAGGGCCTACTATCTACAAATATAGAATTCTTACAACTCAACAAGATAATGTAATTAAAAAGTAGGCAAAGGATCTAAAAAGATTTCCCCAAAGAAGATATACAAACAGGCAGCAAGCACACAACTATGCATAACCAGGGACACAGACAACTGTGTGGTGAAGACCTGGGGCAGGACGGGAGCAGGGTGGAGGGGGTCAATGGGGGAGAAAAGGGAGATATCTGCAATGCTCTCAACAGTAAAGATAATGTTTTTTAAAAGCCCTTAGTCTTCAGGGAAATGTAAAACAAAACCACAACGAGACACTACTTCACATCCAAAAGGATGGCTACAATCAGGACAGATAACACGTGTTACTAAAGGTATGAACAAACTGGATCTGCCCTATACTGCTGGTGGAAATAGGAGTTATCATTTGACCCAGCAATTCTACTCCTATGCATATACCAAGAAAAGTAAACACATATGTCCACACAAAAATGTGTACACACATATTTAAAGCAGCATTGGTCACAATAGCCAAAAGGTGAAAACAACCCAATGCCCACCAATTGACAAATAAATAAAATTTTTATTTTGTGCATCTATAAAATAGAATACAGTCGTCCCTCGCCTCTTCGTGCTTAGACTTGCGCGGCTTCACTCTACCGTGGGTTTCAAATACTGCACTAGACTATGTTGGGAAAAAACGAGAGAGAGCGAAGCCGCGCAAGTCGAAGCACGAAGAGGCGAGGGACGACTATATAAATGAAGAACCCTACTTCGCGGAAATTCATTTGTTGCGGTAGAGTCTGGACCTGACTAACCACGATAAACCAGGGCCGACTGTATTACTCAGCCATAAAGTACTGATATATGCTACAGTCAGACGAACCCCGAGAACATGAGGCCCAGTGAAAGAAGCGGTCACAAGGCCGTCCGCGCACCGTCTGGACCAGCAGAGGGAAAGCTGGTCGCAGGTGCTGAGGCCTAGGGGAGAAGTGGGGTGGAGAGAGGAGGGGTGGTAGCTAAAGGGCAGGTTTTGTCTTTGAGTCGCTGCAGATGCTCTAGGCCCGAATGCGGTGTTGGCTGCATCTGTGACTCTAGTAACCACCACTGAATTGCACACTGAAGCAGGTGAACTGCATGGTATGGAAGTCATGTCTCAATAAAGCTGTGACAGAACAAAAGAAAAGGGGAAAGAGCTGAGAGATAAGAATGTAGGATGAAGATATGGGCAAATGTGATAGATCTAAACAATTCTATATAAAATAAGACTATGAATTGTGATTTTAAAAAATAAGACAACCATGGCTGGTGTGGCAAAGTGGTTAGCACGTTGCCCTACACACCGAATGATCTAGGATTCAATTCCTGGCCAAGGACACATACTTGGGTTGCAGGTTCGATCCCTGGCCCTGGTCAGGGTGCATGCAGGAGGCAACCAAGCGACATGTCTCTCTCACATCAATGTTTCTCCCTCCCCCTCTCCCCTCTTCCACTCCCGCTGAAAATCAATGAAAAAAATCCTTGGGTAAGAATTAACAAAATAAATAAAATAAAATAAGAAAGAACAAGACAAACAGAATTGCAGACGTATGTTGGGAAAGACAACTTAATGAAAGTATCCCAATTCCTTATAATGTTTGTTTGTGTGGCTGGGGTTGGGGGTTAGGGGGGTGGTCAAGTTATTAATTAACTTTAGACTTTAAATATACATGGTCAAATTGGACAGGTGACCACTAAAATAATTTTTTTAATGTGTAATTTCCAAACTCACATAGAAGAAAATGGAATATAAAAACTAACAAGCAGAGGTGAACAAAGGTCAGCAAACCATGGGCAGGGAGCCAAGCCCAGCCACCACCTGGTCAGTGAACGAGTCTTTCTGAACACAGCTGCGCGCGTCTGTCTGTGGCCCTTCTGAGCCAGTGCAGAGTCAGAGGGCCTACGAAGTCCAGAGCCTTCACTGTCCACGTTGCAGAAGAAGTCCACTGCCCTGTATAGAATGCTGCACACCGGACAGAGAGCGAGGGCCGCTCTGGGCTGCGGGCCCTGCGCGTGGAAATGAAGTCTCTCTCCTCTCATGTAATCAGAGGTACCAAACAGCCCCCAGGAAGAACTGAACAGTCTGTGGCAGGAATGTTCCTGACCGGCCCCAGCTTCTGCTTCATAACAGCCCTCTTCTGATTCTAACGCCAGAACCTCACTCCCAAAGACAAAGAGGCAGACCCACAGCAGAGGGACCTCCAGCCAGGTTACAGTAAACGCAAGCTCATGAACAGCATGTGCACTGTGTCCCATCCCCCAAGCGGTGTGAGTGTGGAGTTCCGGGAAGACACACTGGCACAATGTTAGCCATGGATGCCCATCGCCTGGGCAGGAACAGGGCCACGAGCTCTACATACGCTCACTGCTCGAGTCTTTCAGTCACTTGTGTGTGTGGAGGGACGTGCAGGCTCACATGCAGCTGTAAGAATAAGGCAGAGACCCTGAGTGCCCTTTCCCAGCCTCCGCCCATGGGACATCTGGCAGAATGTGCAACACGTCACAGCCCGGAGACACTGACACTGCACAACCTAATTCCCACCTCCAAAGTTCGCTCGCGCTGCTGTGTGCATGTGCGTCTGTGTGTGTGCGTCTGTGTGTGTGTGTCTTTGTGTGTGTTTGTGTGTGAGTCTGTGTGTGTGTCTATGTATCTGTTATGTCTGTGTGAGAGTCTGTGTGTGTGTGTGTGTCTGTGAGTCTGTGTGGTCTGTGAGAGTCTGTGTGTGTGTGTCTGTGAGTCTGTGTGTCTGTCTCTGTGTGGTCTGTGAGAGTCTGTGTGTGTGTGTCTGTGAGTCTTTGTGTTGTCTGTGTGAGAGTATGTGTGTGTGTCTGTGAGTCTGTGTCTGTCTCTGTGTGTGTGTGTCTGTGAGTCTGTGTGTGTTGTCTGTGTGAGAGTGTGTGTGTGTGTTATCACACGTTCAGGTCCGTGCATCCCCACCACAGTCGTGTTACGGGGCAGCCCCACCGCTGTGAGGACCCCTCATGTCAGCCTTTTGTAATCACACCCACCTCCTTCCACCTCCTCCCCAACCCACAGCGATGACACATTTCTATCATCTCAAAAATGTCACCTAAACAAATTAGTGTGTGACCTTTTGCAATGGGCTCTCATCAGTCAGGAACTCCCTGGAGTCACCCGGGTGCCGTGTGTGTCCGGAGCTTGCTCCTTCTCGTTGCTCAGCAATGCCAGGCCGCGCGACCTGCCGCAGGCGCCTGCTGACACCTGGACCGCGCCCAGACTCCAGCGCTTCCACGTGACACTCTGAGCACGGCTAAGGAGCTCTGCGCGAGTGCGACCCCTCCGCTGCCGCGAGTGCCCGCTGGGCCGTGGCTGCCCGTGTGCGCCGCTCTGCGCGGAGCTGCCATGGAGCTTGGGCCGGACGCCGCACGTCCCCCGCATCGCAGCGCCCACCACGCGCTCTCGCCATTCTCACGGCCGTGGTGGGTGCCTGAGCCCACTGCAGGTCATGTTCACATGTGAGCTTACAGAACCAAAACCGTACAGAAATGTATGAGAAAGGAAGTAAAGTCCTGTTTCCTCTCTTGAAAAAAGAAGCAATGCAGCAATCCACCCAAACCAGCGCACTCAAGTCCAGTGACACGGGGGGTTCCGTCCCTCACTCGGGGACAGAGGCCCCACTTCTGGATCTCTCCAGACCTGACCTCCTCGGCCAGACGACAGTGAGGCTCTGCCCAGGGGGACCACAGACGGTCCCAGTGCCAGGACAGGGAAGCCGAAGGCCCAGGGCAGCGCCCGGGCGCAGAGGAAGACACTCCAGCGTGTTCTGGCCAGTGGTCGCCGTGCTCCCAGAGGAAAGGGCCCCTGATCATTTTAGCAAGCAGCAACGCCTTGACAGCCCAGCGAAGCCGATGGATCCCTCTCAGAATAACATCTTTAAATGCAGACAATAAAGGACACAAGAAGACTGTGCCAGCTGCCACATTGTTAAGAGCAAATGTGCTAACACAGACTATACCACCAGACCTGGAAAGGACGCCTACAGAACCTCAGGAGGCTTCCGCACAACCGCCTGTGAGATGAAGTCTGACTCCTGGGGGGAGGGGTCCTGTTCACCCCACCGTGGTGCCGTCATAGTCGTAATGGAAGGAAATGCTGAGTAAAAGGTCATTTTTTTTCTACCCAATTTCATGGAGGTTCTGAATTCCCTAATTTGGTAGAACCAGAAAGAAAGGACCAGGCCTCTAATCTAAAAGATTCTCCGTGGCCTGAGCTCTGGGGGAACAAGGCCCCCGTCCAGCACAGGTAGGGCCCAGACCCCCGTGAGGACTGCAAGAGGGGTGGCTGGCACCGGCCAACTCGAAGGGAAGCACAGGGAGGTGGCCCCGGGTCCTGGACCCCAGCATGGGGTGTAGAGAGGGCTGGGCCCAGGGGTGCACTGGAGCCAACCGAACAAACCCTCCCCAAGCCCAGCCACCCTGTGTGCGAGCCCCATCTGCGCGCACCCTCGGAGCAGCCGCCGGAAGCAGTCTCAGGGACACAAGGGGTGAGGGGCCTGAGGAGCACCAGGGCGCCGGGGAAGCTCTGCCCACCTTCCTCAGTGCGAACGCCACTGTCCCGTCATCCTCAGTGGAAAGATCAAGCAGCTTCTGGTAAAATGCTTCATCATAAGGCCCATCTACTTGCAATGTTTTTCTGAAGGAAGGGCACAAAAAACAATGACAACGCTGCAGGAAACGTCTCTCAAACTGCTGCCAACCACCACGCACGGCCGGCCTCCCAGCACACCCGAGGGCTCCTGCCAGCGCTGCCCGCTGCCCTGGGGAACGTCCCGGCCAGAGCCTGGGGGCGAGCTGAGCCTGTCCTGTTTGTGACCAACGTCATCCAGGTCAGGGGCCCAGTGAGGACGGTGGGGAGGGAGAGGGTCCCAGGTCAGGGACCCAGTGGGGAGGAAGAATGCCCCCCCCACCACAGGTGTGGACCCAGCGCCCCAGCAGGAAGTCGGGGAACAAACCACCCTGCACAGCAGAGCCTAAGGCAGGGCCCACCAGGCCGAGAGGCTGTGGCTGTGGAGCAGCACTGCCCCCTGCAGGCTCGACCCTGACTCAGGACACAGCTGCCTGCCGTGGACTGTCAGATTCATGGGGTGTGCTTGCTTTTCCAGAAATGAACCCGTGGCCACTGGTCTAACGGGACCCAGATCCTCCTCCACACAACACGAGTTCCAGGGTGGGCCTGGCACCGAGCTGAAGGAGGGAAGGGGGCTAGGGGGTCACCTGGGAGCCCTGTGCTACCCTCCCACTGGAGCAACCCTTCCCCTCATCCCATCTCACACTCAGGGCTGCTCGGGCGCACAGGCCTGAGCCCCACCTCTGCTCAGGAAACTGCTCCAGGTACTGCTCCACCCGGCGGTACAGAGGGTAGAGCCCTTCGATGTCCAGCAGGTCTAACATCTGCACCTGGAGGGCTCTGTACAGAAGACAGCCCTTCGGCAGCCCCGAGCGCTCCAGGCTGCTGCTTCCTGCCGAGAACATAAAGGGAAACAAGGTGGCCGTCAAGGGTGGACGAAGGCAGCAGGCTCAGGCTGCGGGGCTGTGGGCACGTGGCCAGGCGGGCACAAGGACCAGGACAACGCCCGCACCCTGCCTGTGCCTCTCCTCCCTTGCAGCACCTCAACTCCACACCCGCCCAGATCTAGGTCTGGAGAGATGACCCTGTCTACATAAGACAAGGCACGAGATGTAAAACGACCATGTTAACAACGCAGACCCAAACCCACAGCCAGCTTGGAGAGGCAGGTGGGGTGTGCTGCCCGGGGGACCACACAGTTCCCGAAGCCACACAGGCAGGCTGCGTCGTCCTCCACCACACCCCCTGGCGGCACCAGAGGCTGAGACCACAGGCTCTCCGCACAAATGCTCGTCTCGGTCACTCCTGCCTGAGCCTGAGCGTGCTATGGGGCTGCGAGCAGACGGGGGACGAGGAGCCACGGACACTCAGGACAAAACCCAAACTAGCCACCGTGAAGCCAGTGCCACCAGTCACAGTCAGCTCCTGGGGAGTCCGAGGAGGAGCCCGGAGCCAGCAGCCCTGCAGCCTGCGTTCACCCCACCCTGACGGTCTGCCCTGCGGGGCTCCCAACCTCTGTGCCTGGCTTCTCCCAGGGAGAGCCGGCGGAGGAAACCGGCCCCCGGGTCTGTGAAGAGGACCAGCCAGGATGAAGTGAGAAAACACTCAGCAACCAGAGGACACACAGACACGTGGGCAGGATTTCAGGGAAACCTCACGGCCCAAATCTGGCTGCACCTTACCAACCCAGACGGAGATAGGAAGGGAGCCCCCACCGAGGGCCAAGGCAGGGAGGCTGGCTCTTGGGAGCCCGCAGGCTGTGCCCAGGCTCTGCCACCCCAACCTACCTTGGCGATGCAGACTCCTGCTGAAAGCGCTGGCTTCACAGACACATGGGCCCTGAGCCCCAGGCCCCAGCTTCAGGGCGCCGGCCCGGCCCTTGTCCGAGCCACTGAGCAGCACCCGTGTGAGGACGCGCACCAGCTCCCGGATCACAGCCCTCGTGCAGTGGGGCCCACTGGCCAGGCCGTTGGATGGGAAAAAGAATGGTTTCAGGTGATGAGCCAGCTCGCTCCAGTCGGTCGCAGGGCTGCGGGCGTCCTTGCAGCCATAAATCAGCTCCCCGTTCTTCAGGAAGGAAAACGGACAGGGGAGTGTCACCTCCAACAGGCAGGTAGGAAAGTACCTTCGTCCCCACCCACCGGGCAGGCAAAGGGACCTGACGCTACACGTGCCCATCTGGGGTCCCTGCACCCTGTGGCCCTGTGGGGATGCTCACTCTCATGCACCCTGTCATGACCACGAGGGAAATCCCACTGGGAGGTGGGACAGAAGAACGTTCTAAGACACTGAAGACCAGAGTCCTGGGCTGAAATACACTTCCTCAGGCACATGGCAGCCTGTGCTCCTGAGAGACACAGTGTCCGTCGGCCCCTAAGCAGAGAAACTACCAGCCGGTGTGGAAGTCTGGAGATGGCCAGTTTCCCAGAGCGCATGTCCTCTGCGAAAGGCTGGCCAGGCCACATCACCAGCGTGGAAACCCTCATCTCCAAGGTCGTCCTGTCCCCAAATCCACGTCCGTGAAGAAGCCTGCAGCTCGGACCTTCGCGGGGCTGCAGCAGGGTCGCCCGGTGGGCCTGACTCATGACTTCATGGGGGTCTGCATCTCTGGTGGGAAAGCCCTAAGGAACCCTGGTCCCCACTCCCGAGCAGCAGCAGCCTCGGGGGAGTGGCGGCCTCGTGTCCTCAGCTCCCTCGTCTGTGAGATGGCATCAACAGCCCACGGCGGCCCACGGCCACACCCCGGGACACGCACGCTCTAGTCCTCTCCACTCCAGAGGTTTGGGCTGTGTGACCAGCCGAAGGAGGGCAGAGGGGCAGTGCGTCCCCAGCAAGACTCTGATAGCAGAGGCCGCTGCTCCCACCAGGCTCTTCTCAGGTCACAGCAGCGTGGGGAGCACAGATCCTGGCCTGGCCACAGGAACGGTGAGGTGCGTGGTTGTCATGCAGCAGCAGACACACCGAGGAGGATGATGCCTGCTCTGCCCCCCTGTGGCAGATGGCAGTCAAGTCAACCCGACAACAGTGCGGTTGGGGCATCGGCCCTGCAGGCTCCCGAGATCAGCAGCAGGCACCTCCCGGAAAGCCCTGCTGGCACCGTCAGCTCACAGCAGGTGTCCAGGGCGATGGGGACTCAGCTAAGGCCACAGGACCAGGGACAGCACTGAGACGCTGACCCTTGCGACGGGCCTTGAGCGGGAAGAGGGTGCCAGGAGCGGAAGGAGCAGTCCCCAGGGGAGAGCAGGCCAAGGACGCGCTAGGCAAACCCCAGGCGGCGGGACTGGGACTCAGCCCGTGGTCCCGGCGGTGGCAGCACGGGCCCACCGTGAACTAGTCCCTCCTCCAGCCCAGGAGTGGCTGAGTGACCCAGGCACCGGAAGGCCTCTTCTCCCAGCGTCTGCAGTCTGGACAGCGGGGAAGGGAATTTCACACATAACACAGTTGCTCAAGGACCTCATGACATTTGGAGGGGAACCACCAACCCAGGCTCCATGACTACCCCCTGTGACCCCCCACAAGTTTCATAAGTGACCAGTGATGGGGTGGACAGAGCCACCGCCATGGAGTCTGTGAACAACTCTCGGACAGACAGTCTGATGGCGGCGGGGACAGACAGTCTGATGTCGGCGGCAACAGACCCAGGACACGTCTGCCCACAGGACCTTCATGACAATGGAAGGCGTGAGCCTCGGCAACACAGCCTGCTCGTCAGAAGTGACGAGACAAGAAGACAGACTGCAATGCTCCGGGTGTCATTTTAAAGCCCTGTCATGTCCCTTCTCTCGATCTTTCTTCTGAAGCCATCATCTCAATCTCAGGGGTCTCCGCACTGAAAAGCAGCAGGCCGCCGGGTCCTCGGGCCCGGGCTCCTGGCGGGGCGGGGCCGCTGTCCAGGCTGAGCCAGACCCTCCGCTCAGCGTTAGCGTGGGCCTGACGGGCAGCCAGCCGGCAGGCAGTCCGAAAGGGTCCGCTTCCGATAAAGTGCCAGCCTTACTGTAGGTTCCGAGTAAGTCCCAACATGAAAGAAAGTTTATTTTTTGAATTTAAATATAAAATTCCTGGTCCTTATGAGTTAGAAATATAAACTGATTTTGGATGTTTCCCTTTTCCAGATTTAGGAAGGTGGAGGCAGACGGGGAGAGGAGTCGGAGGAGGCTGCCTGCTGCCCGCCCACAGTCCTGCTTCCCACACACCTGCTGCCCACCCAGCGCTCGGCAGGGCGTCCACAGGGGGAGGGCACAGGCTGCCCGCCCACAGTCCTGCTTCCCACACACCCGCTGCCCACCCAGCGCTCGGCAGCGCGTCCACAGGGGGAGGGGCACAGGCTGCCCGCCCACAGTCCTGCGTCCCACACACCTGCTGCCTGCAGCCTGGGCCTGCTGCCAAGTCACACTCAACAGGACACAACCAGGGCTGGGAACAGTCAGAGGCAAAGAGAAAAGAAGATAACAAGGGGACCCAGGGGACACTTCCAACACCGGTCACAACGAGTTGCCCTGCAGCCCTGGGCCAGCCCTGCTCCCTGCACCCTCCAAAGCCCTGCTCCTACCCGCCTCCTGCCAGGCGGCCACCAGCCTCAGTGAGCCCAGGGCCGCGCCCAGCTGCAGGGGCCTGAGCCAGATGGTGAATGAACCCTTCCTCTGAACGGCCAGGACAGAACCCACCAAGTGACAAAGAGGTCCTCACATTACAAGCACCCTAAGTTTACTGGGAGCAAACGCACAGGTGTGGCCATCTTCTCCCACCTCAACCATACAGGCCACAGAAATACACAAAAGGACACCTGTGACAAGCCTGACCATGTCAGGGCCATCCTCTCCAAGATCCAGTCAGGGTCTGTGTGTCAAGGGAGCCTGAGACCATCGAGTGGTCAAGGAGCCAACACCACACACCAGCAGTCGCAGGCTGTCATGCTCATGGAATGGGACTTGGAAAAATGACCGAACAGACTGTGCCAAGGCAGACCCAGCCCACATGTCCTCACTGGCAAGGTCACAAGGACCAGAGTGCCGTGAGTTCACCTGGCTCAGTCCAGACACCTGCTGGCCCCGCCCCAAAAGGGCCATAAAACAGAAGCAGCTCTTACCTTGAAGATCTTTAAGTTGTTCTGTGCCTCTTGCAACAAACTTTTTAAGGCGAAGTACATCCTCTGCTTGTTTCTGAAAGGGGAAGGCGAAGGACAGGGTCAGAAGCAGTTCACGTTCGCCTGCCTGTGGCTCAGGGCAAACGGCACCTGCTCCGAGTCTCTGAGCCTTCCAGGTGAGGGGCTGCATGGGCCCCAGCCTTCCCTGCAGAGGCACCCCATCACTGCCCCAACCCCCACCTGCACTCAGCCCTTTCCTTGTGGCAACACCATCCCGGCTGCTGGTCCCACAGGTATCTTGGGAATCTCTACAGGCAACCCTTACCGCAGGCAAAAACCTGAGTGCTGCCCAGGGCCCTGACTATACATAGACCCGTGTGTCCCCCACCTCACAGAATGGCCCCTGACCAACCCCACCCCACAGAGTATTCCCTCAATGGACCCCTCACAGAAGTGCCCGCCACCCCACCTCCAGGAAGATGGCACTATGGACAAAGGAAAAGTGTCCTCTTACCCTGAGTAGAGATCGAGGGGACAGTACCGGCTTATCTGCTTCCACTTCCCAGTGGCCACCTGGAAAGAAGCCACCACCTGTGTCAGCTGTGGGCTGGGAGCAGCGCTGGGAGGGTCCCAGTGTCCAAGACAGATGCCACCAGCTCTGGGCACACATCACCACTAGCAGGGGGCTTGGCCCTCCTCTGAGCCCCTAATGTGGCTGCCAGCCCAGCCCTCCACGTGAGTGTGAAGCAGCAAGCACCTTTTTTATTTTTAGTTTTATTTTAGTTATTTTTTTATCCTCACCTGAGGACATTTTTGCATTTATCTTCAGATAGAGCGGGAGGGAGAGAGAGAGGGAGAAAGAAACATCGAGTGTTTGCCACACACACAACCCCAAAAGGGACCGGGGACAAACTGCAACCAAGGTACGTGCCCTTAGCGAGAACCAAACCCAGGACTCTCGGGTCCGCAGGCCAGGGCTCAAGCACCTTTCTAAAATGACATGGCTAAACTCTGGTACTCAGATACATTTTTAAAATGATAATATCCAGGAAAAGGAGGGTGTGGCTAATCAGTAATTTCATGTTGTTAGTAAGAGGAAAAATTAGCACAATCTTTTGAAAGGCAACTCGCTGATTTCCATCAAAATGTTAAAGGTGGGTGTCCCCTGACTCGGCAAATCTACAAGGAATCACAGGGCAGGGATGCTCAGTGCTGCCTCACTGGACAGCAAGACCCAGAACTGACCAAGCACATCACAACACATGTGCGCTCAGGGGCCAGGACACAGCAGGACACGTGGTCAGTGAGGAATGAACAAACGACCAGCTACTCACAGAAAGAGGGAGAGCTAAAATCACCAAGTCGTATTCAAGTCAGAGAGCAACTTGCAGAACAAAGCATATGATGTCACTTTTGCTAAAAAAAAATAAAAATAAAAAAGGATAAGTGTGTCATACACTTATACCCAAATATGCAAAGAAAACACCTTGAAGGATACACAACAAACAATCCTCAAGGATTATTTAAGTGAAAAAGCAGTTCGCGGGACAAGTGCCTGTGGAAGAACCCACATCTGCTGTAGATGTGCACAGCGCATGTGAGCACACGAGTGTGTAGAGACCGCACCACCCCAATCTCACGGGGCAGCATGTGTCCTTGTTGGCACAGGAAGGAGTCTGCAAGGAGGTACAAACTGACAACATGGTCACCTCAGAAGGCAGGTGGCCTAGCTCATACCCTCCCATATTTTATCAGTTAAATGAGCAGGTACTGAGTCAGCAGAAACTGCAGAGAAAGAACCTCTGGAAATTCTCTCCTCCATACAGGCAACGAGAAAACTGGCAAAAACTGGCAGAACCAATTAAAATGTTCATAACTTTGAAAATTAACCAAAGTCTTGTAACAATCTGGGGAGCATTTGTTCAAGAAAAACAGCCAGATCTAAGCAAGAACTGTGAGCTTTGTGGCTCTTTTAATGCCTTATTCCCACCTCCTTTCTAGTTCCAAAGGAACCCTGAAAACCACCAGCCCCAGTCACAGCGAAAACAGCAGCCTGGCAGCCTCCCGAGGGGGCGAACAGGGCAGGGGCTGCTCCAAAACCTCATTCCCAGGGAATGCAAATACCTGACCGATCTCATGGTCCCCTGTGTTCACTGTCTCAGAGCTCACAGGTACAAAAGGGCACCCTTTCCTAGGGGCCTTTATGAACATTATTCAGAGACACCTGTTCCAACATCACAGCTGCCTGCGATGGTGGGTAACAGTCGCGGCAAACAATAAGCTAAACCTAACACTAGAAAGAAAAAGCTGAGGAGTAAGATGCACACAAGGCTTTGAAAACCTGCAGCGTATCCTGGCCATCTAGACGGCCATGCACAGGCTCTGGAGAGACCTGAAAAGGCCCTCACCTCCTACAGATCTGAGGCTCGGTGAGAGTGAAGCTGAGCCCTGGACGGTTTGGCTCAGCGGTTGGAGCGTCAGCCTGCGGACCAGAGAGCCCCGGGTTCGGTTCCCACTAGGGGCACATACCAAAAAAAAGAAAGTGAGGCTGAGGTGGACTGTGACTCCCAGGTCTCCGCACACACAGAGCCTCTCGGCAAAGAATCTTACTGGTCCAGGCATAAGAACCCTCTTCAAGCCACTAGCTGCCCACTAAGTAACTGAGCAGAGACTTCAGAAACCACAGGCAACAATAATACAGACTTCTCAAAATTAACATAGAAAAGTCACTAAAAACACAAACAATGAAAATGACAACAGCAGCAATAAAAAAACTAGAAAGGTTGTAGAGTCTGATTCCCACAGTGCCTACATAATATTACTTAAAATACCCATTTTCAGCAAATCATTACAAGATATGCAAAGATCCATACTTTCAGGAAAGAAAGCAATCAATGGGCTGTCACTGAGGAGGTTCAGATATTAGACTTATTTATACAAAGACTTTAAATACATTATTTCACTTATTTGTTGAATATAATGAACAAAATAAGCTGATGAACAAAACAGACCCAGAGGCATAGAAGTAGGGTGCAGACTGACAAACCTCAGGGTGGGGGAGATAAACCAAAGAATTATATGCATAACCAATGGACACAGACAACAATGCGGGCGGTGGGTATTGGGAAGAGGGTGTCAATGGGGATAAAAAAGAAACATCTGTAACAAAAATTAATTAATTTAAATAAAAAAAAAAAAGTAGTTGGCCACACAGAAGGCTACCAGAGTTGGCATTCTATCTCCATTGTTTCAGATGATGCCTGAGAGCCAAGCTCACTGCACTCCCTGCCCTCCACCAGGACACATCACATCTGTCACAGCTACAAGCACTTGAAAAGGGGAATGCCCCCTAGGAAGTACCTGCACTACCGAGGATGAGGGTGGGAGCACAGGATGAACAGGCAGTAGGTGCACTGTTGCCGTGGTGCACAACACCTAAGAAATAAGCCTCCCTTTCTTCAAAAAAAATCAGTATGCAAAATCCAATTGCTTTTCTCACTCCAGACTCATTAGGATGGATGGCTACTATCAAAACCGGAAGATAACAAGTCATGTTGAGGACGCAGGGAGCTGGAACGCTTGTGTACTGTGGTGAAATGGCACAGCTGCTATGGACAGCAGAATGGTGGTTCCTCACAGCTAAAACCAGCATCGCCATATGATCTAGCAGTTCCCTTCCGGGGATACACTCACACAAGTAAAAGCAGGGTCTCAGAGCGATCTCATTCACATTCATAGCAGCGTAACAGACAACAGCCAAAAGGCGGAGGCCACCCAAGTTCACTGGATTGTCCAGCCCTCAAGTGGAAGGACATGCTGACACCTGCTGTGGAATGGATGAGCCTAGAGGACATCATGCCAAGTTAAATACTGTGTGGTTCCACGTATATGAGGTGCCAAGTAGTCAGGTTCATAAAGATAAAAACCACAATGGTGGTTCTCAGGGACCGAGGAAAGAAGGAAATGTGTTGTTGTCTAATGTGTATAGGGTTTCAGTCTTGCAAGATGAAAAAGGGTCTAGAAACGGACAATGGTGATTGCTGAGCAACACGAATGGACATAATGCCCCGAACGGTAAGGGTTAAGATAGCGCTACTATCCAAAGTAATCTAGGAATTCTGTCATGGTTTGCAAAAATAAAAAATCCAATCCTCGAATTTGTAAGTAATTGTAAAGGGCCCAAAATAACATAAACAATCTTAAAAAAGAACAAAGCTAGAGGACTAACACGTCCTCATTTCAAAACTTACTACAAAGTCACAGCAATCAAAGAGTGTGGTATTGGCATAAGGACAGACATACAGACCAATAAACTAGCGCAGGAACCCTAGAAACAACCCATCACATCTATGGCCAAAAGACCTACAATAAGGGTGCCAAGTCCATGCAGTGGAGAGAAACAGTCTTTAACAAAGGGTGCTGGGAAACTGGAAATCCACAGGCAAAAGAATGAAGCTGGACCCCTACCCAATACCACGCACACAAGTTAACTCAGAATGGATTACAGACCTCATCATAAAAGATAAAACTCTTAGAAGAAAACAGAAAAGTTTCATGATCTTGAATTAGGAATGACTTTTTAGACATGATACCAAAAGCACAGGCAACACAAGAAAAAGCAGACAAACTGAACTTGGTCAAAATTAAAACCTCTGTGCATCAAAGGACACTATCAACAGAGTAAAAGGAAACTGACAGAAGAGGAAAATAGGTTTACAAATCATATATCTGATAAGAAACTAATACATAACATACAAAGAACATATAAAACTCTACAGCAGAGCCCTGGCCAGTCTGGCACAGCAGTCTGAGGGTTGGCCAGCGGCTCTAAGGTTAAGGGTTCAATTCCCAGTCAAGGGCATGTACCTGAGTTGCATTTCAATCCCCAGCCCTGGTCAGAGTTGTGCAGGAGGCAACCAACAGATGTGTCTCTCTCACATCAATGTTTCTCTCTCTCCCCTTCTCCCCCTTCCACTCTATCTAAAACTCAACGGAAAAATATCCTTGGATGAGGATTAACAACGACAAAACAAACAAAACAAAATGCCTACAACAGAAAAACAACCCAATTCAAAATGGGCAAAGAGCTTGAATAGACATTTCTCCAAAGGAAATATTCAAATGGCACAAGGAGCACAGGTAAAGATGCTCACCATCCCTGTTAAAGAAATGCAAATGAGAACAGCAGTATGCTGCCCAGCACATTCCCTAGGGTGGCTGCGACCACAGACGGTGACAGCCAGGGTCACAGGGGACAGGGAGAACACTCATGCACAGCTAGGGAGAACAGTTTGACGTTTTCTCAAAAAGTTAAACACAAAACTGCCCTAAGACCCAGCAACTCCACTCCAATGAATGTTCCCTGGAGAGATTCAAAGAAGTACAGGTGCATGCACGTTCATAACAACACTATCACAACAACCAGAAGGTGGAACAAGCCACACGTCCATCAGCAGATGAATAAACAAAACATCCCCATGCAATGGAGTTGTAATCAGCCTACAGGGAATGAAGTGGTGATACACAATGCAACATGGATGAACCTTAACATCATTATACTGATGAAAAAGCAATCACAAAGGCCGCATATTGTACAATTTCATCTACACAAAACATCCAGGACAGGCAGATCACACGGGGCTGACAGGACAGGGGACTGGGCAGTGCCTGCTCCAGGGGACAGAATCTCTTTCTGCAGTGACAGATGTTCTGGGATTAGATGGTGGTGATAAATTATACAACTCTGAGAAATATACTAAAATACACTGAATTTATATACACTTTAAACGGGTAAATCTTAGGGTAAGCAAATTTTATCTCAACTTAAAGCAACAACACAAGGTGACTATGACGCGCTTGTGAACTGAGAGTGAAAAACCCAGATCCACATTTCCTCCCACTCCTTTGGAAACTCCGCAGGTGCTCACGCCCCACGTCCAGGCCCCTGCACGCCCGAGCAGGACGGGCCTGTCCTCACCTTGAGGTGCTGGTGCATGCAGTACCGGCACACCTTGTGCTTCAGCTCATGCGTGACGTCACTGGAGAAAGGAATAAACCCGCATTTTGGCTGCGAAATAAAGGAAGAAAAACTGCTTAGGGAAATATCCCATGCCTTTAAGTAGACATATGACACAAGGCAACACTCAGGTGCAGCAGCAAGTGTCCCCAAAGCTGCTTCTCTCCAGCCCCGTGGGACCTCGTCGCCTCGTACACACATCTCTTTGCTGCTACAGAGTCAGAACTCTCACTGGGAAACACTGGATTGAACAAGTCAACACAGTTGCTTTGTTTTTTCAAACAGGAGCCAGGAGCCAGGAGCCAGAAAGACTGGGAGTGCAGGCCCGCCTGCTCCCAGTTCCAAGAGACAGAGCCTCTTCCCTCTGACAAGAATCCATAGATGGGAGGTGCCATATGATGGCTGCTAGGCTCCCAGAATGTCTGGAACCTCAGTTGCCTTTTAAAACCCACGGTCCCTGGGCAAGCACAACACGTAAGGCCTGCGCGTGGCACCGCAGCTCTGAAGAGCGTGCCCCATCGTTTGTGATGCCTGAGACACTCATCCTCTGGTTGTGGACCAGATCATTAGTCCCCCTGAGCACACGGGTGTGAGTGCTCAGGGCCCAGGGTGTGGCCTGAAAATCACCACCAAAACAGTTCGGAAAAGGGAGACACACAATGGCCTGGGACATCTGGGAAGCTTCCCGAGGAAGACTTAGGCAGCCACCCTGGACACTGGGCAGCAGAGCTGAAGCCAGGGGCCTGGCCCTTCAGCCACCACTTCCTCCACCAGGCGAATGACACCCTTTTTGGCCCCCCTCAGGACTCCTGGCCACTACAGACCAGGGCCTTGAGAGTCACATAGGTTTCTGGGCCTCTGGGGAGGGCTCTCCTGAACAGGATGGAAACAAAGGAACAGAGTGCCCACCAAACTAAAAGGCAACCCTCAAGATGTCCTCCTGGAACACAGCATACACTGTCACCACGTGGCATGGCACAGGCTGGGGGCCTGGTGAGCTGCACCCTCCAAAGAAAACGGGGAGGATGGAACCCAAAGCACTTCCTCTTGGTGGCCATCAGCCAGGCTTGGCCCTGGCCAGTTTCCCATAGCAGCACCTTGGGAACAGGCCTAAATCGAGGGCCCTGGGTAGCCATGTCCCTTGGGTCTGGCCCGTGGGAGAAACCAAAGAAGGAAAGTGCAGGCGGCAAGCTCCAGGCGCCTCTGGGAGTGCGGGGTCCCTGAGAAGGGCTGTAGGCCCAGCGTGGGTAACAGCAGGAGCTGTGGGAGAGTGTGCTCTAGGCACGGACCATGGACTGACAACCCGAACCTACCTTTCCCTTCTCCCCACACCACTTCCCCTTCACAGCACCTCACCTTGATCTCCACACACAGAATCGGCCGGTGCTCAGCAAAATGGTAGGTCTGAAGTCTGGCTAAATTGGGAAGGCACAGCGCGTAACCACTGAGAGTGTCCAGGTCCTTGTCACAGCGAGATTCTAGAAAACAGCAAGGAAAATACCTGAGGGTCAGTGCACAGGGTACAAGATCACCTTACAATGACTCAGGCAATTCCTGTTGAGGAAAGGTCAGCCTTGCCTAACTAAGAAAGGGCTGGCCTTGTCCTCTAGCTCCTGGAGGTCACCTCTAAGCACTGGGGAATCCTGCCTGAGGAAGTCCTGGGGCTTCTGAGTCCTGTGGTGTAACACTGTGATTCACGGAAGGCTGTAGGCTGAGGGCAGCTAGTCAGCTGTGTCTACATGCCCATCCCCAAGATCCGTCAGAGCAGAGCTCGGCAGACTCCCTGCTCGGCACCTCCATGCGCTCACACTTGCTGGGAGAGGTGAACAGGACTCCAGGAGGAGAGCATGGGCAGCTCCTGCTGTCTTCCTGGGCCTGCCCCTGCGCCTCTTCAAGCCAGTGGTCTTGACTGTGTCCCTGGGCTGTGATAGGCCATAACCATGAGGATATAGTGAGTTCTCTAGGTCCCTCTAGCAAATTACCAGATCTTGAGGGTGGTCTTGGGGACCCCCCAAACATTCAATTGTCATCAGAAGTGATGGATGTCTCGGGGACTGTCCCCCAATTCCACAAGACCTTTAACCCGGGAAGTGAGAGAGGAAGAAGGCAGCAGCCTCTCCTTTCCTCTCACCGGTTCCTTTGGAAGACAAACTCCGCAACTTCCTGGGCGGGCCGCTAGGAGCTGTGCTGTGACAGTCACAGTAGACACATGTGGCCTCCAGACCCCGGGCGAAGTGGCTTTCCTCCTGTCACACCAAGGCTGATGACAGTCATTATGACAGTGGGGGACAGTTCCTATTACTGTTAAGTGGTATAAATTTAACTGCTATTATAAAATAAAATAATGATCCTGAGCAGCATTGCTGCTAGCTAGACAGCAGAACCCGAGAGCAGTCTCAGCCTGTCTTAGTCTAGATGGCAAAAGAGCCAAGACACAGCCCTGTTTTTAAAGTAGCCATGACCTCCTCCCCTCATCAACCACTCACACAGCCCCGCCCCTCATGCACCACTCACCCACACAGCCCCGCCGTCTCATCCACCACTCACAAAGCCCCGCCCCCTCATCTACCACTCACAAACAGCCCCACCCCCTCATGCATCACTCTCACACAGCTCTACCCCTTCATCTACCACTCACACAGCCCCGCCCCCTCATGCACCACTCTCACATACACAGCCCCGCCCCCTCACCCACCACTCACCCACAGCCCCGCCCCTCACCCACAGCCCCGCCCCCTCACCCACCACTCACACACAGCCCCGCCCCCCTCATCCACCACTCACACATAGCCCCGCCCCCTCATCTACCACTCACACACAGCCCCACCCCCGCATGCACCACTCTCACACACAGCCCCACCCCCTCATCTACCACTCACACAGCCCCGCCCCCTCACCCACCACTCACACACAGCCCCGCCCCCCTCATCCACCACTCACACATAGCCCCGCCCCCTCATCTACCACTCACACACAGCCCCACCCCCGCATGCACCACTCTCACACACAGCCCCACCCCCTCATCTACCACTCACACAGCCCCGCCCCCTCACCCACCACTCACACACAGCCCCGCCCCCCTCACCCACCACTCACACACAGCCCCGCTCCCTCACCCACCACTCACACACAGCCCAGCCCCCCTCATCCACCACTCACACATAGCCCAGCCCCCTCATCTACCACTCACACACACAGCCCAGTCCCCTCAACAACCACTCACTCACAGCCCCGCTCCTCAATGCCCCCAAACCAGAGGCCCCAAGGCACGGTGCCCCATTAGCTTTCCTTTTCCAGTGAAAGAAGCAGAGCCTTTTCCATTAGCCAAGGGCACGCCTTGGCTGCCTGGCTGTGCTCTGGGCAGAGGCATGTCCATCTCAGTGACACAGATTTCACCTCTTCTCTCCGACTGTGAGAGGGGAGGCTTTGACACGGTCTCTGTCACTAAGTCATGACCAAGTCTAAGAAAGACACTTGAGGTGATGGGAGCAGGTAGGTGAGGTGATGGGGCAGGTATGTGAGGTGATGGGGGAGGTAGGTAGGCAATGGGGGGAGGTACATGAGGTGATGAGGCAGGTACACGAGGTGATGGGGGAGGTACGTGAGCAATGGGGAGAGGTACACGAGGTGAAGAGGCAGGTACACGAGGTGATGGGGGAGGTACGTGAGCAATGGGGGCAGGTACACGAGGTGAAGAGGCAGGTACACGAGGTGAAGAGGCAGGTACACGAGGTGATGGGGGAGGTATGTGAGCAATGGGGGGAAGTACACCAGGTGATGGAGGCAGGTACACGAGGTGATGTGGGAGGTATGTGAGCAATGGGGGGAGGTACATGAGGTGATGGGGCAGGTACACGAGGCGATAGGGGAGGTACACAAGGTGATGGAGCAGGTATACGAGGTGATGGGGGCAGGTAGACGAGGTGATAGGCCAGGCACACGAGGTGATGTGGGAGGTATGTGAGCAATGGGGGAAGGTACACGAGGTGATGGGGCAGGTACATGAGGTGATGGGGCAGGTACACGAGGTGATGGGGGAGGTACATGAGGTGATGGGGGAGGTATGTGAGCAATGGGGTGAGTTACACCAGGTGATGGGGGCAGGTACACGAGGTGATGGGGGCAGGTACACGCGGTGATGGGGCAGGTACACGAGGTGATGGGGGAGGTACACGAGGTGATGGGGGCAGGTACATGAGGTGATGGGGAGGTACATGAGGTGATGGGGCAGGTACTGCCCATAGCGTTCACATCCCGTCTTCTCTAGGAGGACCCGCAGGCGGGGTGGGTTCAGCTCTGGGAGGAGGTCCTCAGGCTGCAAACCCATGAGGGCCTGGCTCCTCCTCCGTGCTTCGGGTCTACCTTGTTTTCCTCCGACTCCTCCAGGCCTCCCTGCAGCCTGCCTTCCCTTCCCCAAGTCTCCCCTAACCCTCAGCTCCCTCTCAGCCCAGTGCATATTTATTTTATTCCTCAGTTCTAGGTCACATGTCCTCTAAGTGGCCTGGGTACCAAATGCCCAGCATTATATTCATGGGCTCCTGGGATCTCCACACCTGATGATCAAGTTTCTGGCAAAAGAATGCTGAAAGCTGCATCAGCCTAACATGAGTAATAGTGTCAACACTTTTCAAACGGGATAGTTTAAATTACAAAGGACATTTCTGTGAGAAACCCTTACCTGGTCTTTCAGACTGTATCTTTACACAAAGCTGTTTCACAAAGTCTAAAGGCAGCTGAACGACCTCCTGTAAGGACAAACATGAAATACTCAGCATGGGCCGCACAGCAACGCCACAGAAATGCACACTGAAAGAGGGTGAAGAAAATGGCCCTGGCCAGTGTGGCTTGGCGGTAGAGCGTCAGCCCGCAGACCAATGAGTCGAGGGTTCGATTCCAGCCAAGGGAACATACCCTAGTTGTGGCCGGGCCCTGGTTGGAGTCATGCGGGAGGCAACCAGTCGATGTGGCTCTATCGCGTCGATGTTTCTCTCTTTCTTCCCACTCTCCAAAGATAAACAGAAAAATATCCTTGGGTGAGGATTAAAAAACATAAAGATGGTGAAAAGGGTAAATGCATGTTATGTATATTTTAGCACATAAAAAATAGTCTGTGGGCCTCAGGAGTAAAAGCTGCTGTTTCATTTTAGGGACATGTCCCAATTAAACAGAGACACTAGCTTCTCCGCCCGCCCCAGAGTGGTTGGTGCTCATGGTGGTGGTGACCAGTAGCCTCACGTCACCCAGTGTCCACCAAGCACCTCCTCTGTCCTCACCGAGGCCCTGTCTGCTCACAACCATGTCTGGGGAGCAGAGCAGGACCAGAGGCAGCTGTCTCTGCAGACACCCGAGGCCTCTCACACCCCCACCTGAGAAACGGCTCAAGGAGAAGGGTTTGATCCGATATGAATCTCCAGGTGAGGCGTCCTATATGCCCTCAGCCACAGGACTTGGGGGCCCAATACACTGTGCATTTGGGCAAAACAAAAAACAAATTTTCTCCACTTTGCCGTTTCTTTGCAATTTCCTGAAGTGAAAGTTTTAATCCATGTTGCTCACCATCTTCTGCATGTTTCCAGGCTGGCAGAGTGCTGACTCCTGCAGTCCCAGCAGGACGTGAGACCAGCCTAGACTGCATGCCAAGAACCTGACTGCTGACGGGCCACACCCTCTCCACCCCACCCCGCCCTATGTGTCAGCGCAGCCTGGGACTGCCCATCACGAGGGGCTCAGCCTGTGGCCCTCCTGTCACCTGTGGCCCTCCTGTCACACTTCTGCGTGGCTCTGATCCACTTGATCAATTACTTCCCAGCCTGCTGTACTAGCTCACCTCGTGACTTTGTCATTTACCTTTACAAGCTATAAACTGATAAAAGGTGAGATGCTAAAAATTTAGTTCTGAATTAGGTAAGGTAAACAATGGAAAAGAGTGGAAACTATAAAAATCTGAAAATTCAAAAGTTAGACAATCTCACAATACTCCAAGGTCTCACTCCGCTTTAAACAAAACAAAGGTGTGGCCCTGGCCAGTTTGGCTCAGCGGTTAAAGCGTCGGCCTGGGGTCCGGAGAGACCCGGGTTCGGTTCCCGCTGGGGGCATGTACCTCGGTTGCAGTTTGTCCCCGGCCCTGGTTGGTCGTGCGGGTGCCAGCCACTCGATGTGTCGCTTCACATCGATGTTTCTCTCTCTCTCTCTCCCTTCCTCTCTCTCCCTCCCACTCTATCTGTACAAAAAATGGAAAAATATCCTCGGGTGAGGATAAAAAATAAAAAAAACAAAGGTGTGAAGCGAGCAGAGGGCAGACGAGGGATGCCGTGCAGAAAGATGAATGGCCCCCAGCCCTCTCAGGACACCCGGGCCCGCACCCTGCGCAAGGCCGGGAGGTCAGGACCACCACACCCCGCGCAGGCCCACGCACAGCAGGCGTCCTGATGCCCCCAGCTGGGGGAGTCACGGCCCAGGCGGGAGCCATCAGTGCAGTGACAGGAAGATGGAGAGGCGCAGATGGATCGAATCCAGAGCCAAAAGTGGCTCAACTCCTCTCCAGTGTCAGGGAACTGCCCCGTCTAAGTGCATAGTCACCAAGGTAAAAAGTAGAACATACTTCTTTAAACAACTTTAAATTCTTGATTTTATAATGTATTCTAGTTGTGTTTTAAGTCAGACTAAAGTGTTCCTAGTAGGCATTCCTCCTGACATTGGGCTACATTTACCAACCCGATTCAGACTCACAGACATGCGAACCCTGCGTCTGCCTGTCGGACGGAGACAGCGCCCACAGAGCCCGGGAGGCGGTGATCAGCAGCGCACTCGGTCAGCACCCGTGCAGGGTACTAACTTAGGGGAAACTGTACTTAAGTGCACAGAATCAGCTCAGGAGACTGTCACTGGAAGGTGTGGTCACACCAGTTTCCCTGCCGACAGGCATCTGCCCTCAATGGGATGAAGGGATGAGACGGCCGCAGAGAAGGACAAAGGGCCATCAAGACTGGAGGGGCCTGGCAGGTGAGCAGCATGGCTCAGTGTTCTAGAAGCTCCTTCGGGAGAGCAGCATCCCTCATGCATCCTGTGTGGTGCCTGGCCAAGGCTGCCACGCAGTGTCTCAACTACCCTGGTATGTGAGATGCAAACCCCTGCAGGCATGAGGGACAGCCTGTTCCCCATCTCCTAACCTCCAGCTCCCATGGAGGCGGGCCCAGACCAGTGTCCAAACCAGCAGGTCGGGCCCAGAGGCAGCGCAGGTGCCCGCTGCCGTCTCTGGCAGCCTGGTCTCACCCTTTGGGAGCGCTCACCAGGGCTACACACTGGCCTACTTCGTGTCAGTGGTGGAGAGAACAGTGGCACATATGCATGCTGGCTTTGCCTGCACGTGGTCTTGTGTGGATCTGAGATGTGCCAGGGCCCGAGTGGCAATCCCCTGCGGTCATCACATCCACCTGGAGGAAGAGCAGGTTGTGTTCGCTTTGGCGCTGTCTTCATGCAGAGGGGAATGTCCATCAGACACATGCTCCCAGAATGCATCCTGTGGACTCCCCTCACACACCCAGAGCCTCGTCCACTCTGGTGGGCAGAGCATGTGTGCCCTGGGCCTGGGGACACCCTGACACTGCTCCCACTTACCAGGCCATCTTGGCTGGCTCCAAGCTCCACCACCCTTCTTCACAGTGACCCAGGCAGCGGAAAGGTCTAGAGCCCCTGATGCTGTGATACAGAGACATGCTCCCACTTGGCCAGACGAGCACACGCTCTCCTCCAGGAGGAAGCTGGCGGCTGCACCCGTGTGCACTTGGGCACCGTGCGCCAGCTTGGCTCCTGTGAGTCCCTCCACACTCCTCGGCTGGCTGCACAGCCCCCAGAATGCTGTGGATGACAGGTGCTCCGGGCCAGGCAGCTCTCAGACCAAGTGCGGGAAGCGTGCTGAGTCTCAAGGATACTCAGAGCCCTGTGGTGAGTCCATGTGGGAGGTGCTGAGACCCAGCCAGAAGCCCGCACCACCCCACCAATCCCTGGATGGACCACTCTGGAAAAGGGCCTGATGTCCTCAGATGAGGCTGCAGCCCTGAGGGACGCCCAGCACCATCACCCACCACACATCCTGAGCTGGTCAAAGGATGCTTCTTGGAGGGTATTTTGCTGTCAGAGCCATTAAAACCTACTTCACTAAGCTTCCCTAAGCTTCAAGGAAACACTCCCTTGACTTCCTTAGTATCGTTTTTCTCAGGACAGACACAAAGTACAGTATTTGCAAAACAAAAGCAGTGCTTTCTGTGTTCAAAGTGACCAGCCTGTAGTCTGTCCAGGTCCCTGATCTACAACAAGCAGCAAGGCCAGCAGACGCCAAGACAGCTGTCCCAGGCGTGGACCAAAGCCACTGTGGCTTCCTACGCGGCTCCCTCCCCGAGTGTCCAGACTGCAGCCCGTGCCGCGGACAGGCACTCCTCCCAGTTACGAGACCAGGAAGGGCCAGCGGCGCGGACCAGCAGGGCACGGGCTCACGGGGCCCTGGGCCTGGCTGCACAGCCCCGTGGCCGCAGGCAGAGGCGCTGCCACGGCAAGTGGGGGCCGCAGGTGCTCGCTCGGAGCCCAGGCTTCCTAGCTAGAAAATGGGAGCAGTCCCATATGCTCTGCTACACCTCGCAGTGCAGCAATGAGGAAACAATACTCGGGAACTCTGTCACTAACACGAGGAGCTGCCATCAACTGTGACGGAGAAGTTGGTATCACTGATACAGATCGTACCCATGAACGTAGATCCATAAATAAAACCACTTACCCCACAATGAACATAGTTCTCCCCCAAAAACTCTTTCATGACATTTTTGCCGAAGTCCACTATGTTCTGTAGGTGCTGGAATATTTCTTCCGAGGTCTGTAAAAAAGCAGCACAGGAAGGCCTTACTGACCAGGACCTCGAGGAAGCACGAAGGGAGTGGACTCCGACACCGCCCCGAGCCCGTCACACACAGGGCTGCAGAGGGCGGCCCTGCACTGGGAAGAAGGTGAGCCCGCCAGCAACCGCAGGACCCACTGAGGCTTCTGCCCCCTGCCTCCCAGGCCTCCCTCTGCCGTCTACGCAGGGCCCCATGTGACCCACACCCGTGCCAGGAACACCTGTGGATTCTACCAGCAGCCCCGTGCACACCTTCCAAGGACCTGAACTTTGGAAATCTCTCGTCCAAAAATCACTAGGTATTTACATTTTATTCTCCAGCCTCTAAATAATGAATAAAATATTTTCTCCCAAGTCAGATGTTCTTAAGGAGCCAATAGGCTATGAGATTTGGGTGAGACAGAAAATCAGCTCTGTGTCCCTCCCTCTGACCAAGGCAAAAAGTCCAAAGGGTCCATTGCAGGTCTCTCTAAAGGGTGAGCGCGCCATCCTCATCACAGGCAGGACAGGTGGTGACTGACACATGGCTTGCTTTAGGAGGGTCCGGGATGGAGCTGCCACCCGTGCCCAGAACACGTGCGGACCACAGCCTGCGTCCCAGGGCACGTGCGGTGTGACTGCATGAGAACAAGTCCAACAGAACAGCCCAGAACACCCAGTGGCTCCATCCAGCTGGGGCAGAGCTTCTGAGAAAGCTCGTCTCGTTGACAGAATCACCACAGGACTCCCCACTGGGAACGCAGCTGATATCGCACCGCCCTTCACATAATGAGCAAAGGCAAATTGTTTGTTGCCTTGGAAGACACTGTCTCAGTAAATGAAAACAGGAAACGCTGACAGAGGCACAAGTCTGGGCTCTGCAGATGCTGAGTGCAGAGGTGGGGCTGGAGGCGGCTCCCAGATGTTCTGGTCTCCACTTGGACTCCACAGAGACCAACCTCCCGTGAGGCTCCCTTCTGCAGCGGAGAAGGGCGGCCCTCTGCCTGCACCCCCGTCAATGCCCTCCCCTCTGCACTGCCCCAGCTGTCCCCAGACCTCAGGGCAGCTCCCCCGCTGCCTCCTCCCACAGACCCCTCTTCTCTTGCTGTGCGGCTAACCGACGCCTCTCACTCCTGCTGCCACCACCACCCTTCCGCAGTCACCTCCCTCCCTTTCTGGCTCTCTCCATGGCTCATACAAAGCAGCGACACATCGACCCTGTACCCCGATGCTCTGCATTTCCACTCACCACCCAACCACACCCCGTCCCCACTGTGAGGCTGTGCCCCCAGCTCCTGCCTTTGCTCCCCTTCTGAGATAAGAGTTTGTGCTTTAGAGCAAGGCCCACAGCAGCTTCTGCGCCTCCTTCCCTCCCCCAGGAGGGGCTCTGAAGGGCTCTTCTATGGACCCCACAACCGCGGAGATTCAGCTAATTCCATGTGGACATCCCACCTCCAGGGAGACAGACACTGGACTCAGCGGTCGGCCAGTGCCTACAGAACAGCGACAGCTTTCTGCGGGTGTCGACAGCGCTCTGCCTGGATGACTCAGCAGACAGAAACCATGCTCATCTGAGCTGCCTGACGTGACCTGGAACACTGTCCCCCTGACAGCGCCCCAGACTTCTCTTCACAGGTACAACTCCACAGGTAAGGGACACAGGCAGCAGGGTGTAAGGAGATCACCATGGCGCAGCTGAGACCTGGCCCGGGGACCCTGGCCAACCAGCAGGGCGCTCTGAACTGAACAGGGTGACTCTTAGCTCCACACCAGGGACTCCCCACAGCAACCCCACCAAGTCAAAGCAATGGGCCCTGTAGAAACCAGAGACACACCCGTTTCTGCACTGAATGCTGTGTCGTATTTAAACTTCCACAATTAGCATTCATACTCCACATCAGAATAAAATCAAAGTTTCTCAAGTCATTGTTTCAAAGGCTGGGCGGCAAAGCACACAATCTTACCTTCTTCCTGCTGGGAGGGAACTTCAGGAAACGCAGCACCACACAACGCTGTGAGAAACAGAACAGAGTCTGATCAGTGCCCACTGGAGCCTGGGGGTACGGGCGGGTGGTGGTGGAGAAGGGGCTGGTGCCCTAGGGCTGTCCTCAGCAGCTTGGAGGTGGCACCCTCCATAGACAGCCCACTGGCCTGAACACCCAGTGCCTCCAGGGAGGAAGACCAGCACTGGGTCACACACCAGAGGTCACACTAGGGCCACAGGGCAACCAGGAATATCTGTGCCCTCTGACCTAGCCAGCCCACTCCCAGTAATTTATCTTTTTTTTTTTTTATCCTCACCTAAGGACTTTTTTGCATTTATCTTCAGATAGAGCGGGAGGGAGAGAGGGAGGAAGAGAGAGAGGGAAACATTGATGTGAGACAGACACATCGAGTGGCTGCCACCCACATGACCCCAACCGGGACCAGGGACAAACTGCAACTGAGGCACAAGCCTTAGCAAAAACTGAACCCCGGACTCTCCAGTCCACGGGCCGATGCTCTAACCACTGAGCAAAACAGGCCAGGGCCCAGGAATTTATCTTAAGGAAAGAATTAAGAATGTGCAAAATTTTTAGCTACTCATATGAAAGTACTGTTTATAATTCTAAACAAAATGGAAACAACCTAAATGTCCATCAATAATGAGATGGTTGAATAAAGGGGGACACAGTCCAGACCGGGGAGCACCACACCATCACCAAGAAAACAGGAAGCTCTGCTCACAGACCCATGTGAAAACAGCCATAGGACAGGGCTTACAGAATGGCCCCTTTTCATAGATGCACAATAACGTGTGCATGTCTGTGTGTGCGCATGTGCGTGTGTGTGAACAAGGTGCAGGCACGGTTCTGTTTATGGGATGTTCTGCAGGTGACCAACCCTCAGACAGTGGAAAGTCCCTGAGAAAGGTGACAGAGGGCTGGTGATGGGACTATGGGTCCACAGAGGCACTATGACCTCAGCACCGTGGTGTACACTGGTTACACTTCACTCTTACGTCTGTAAGATAAAGATGTTTCAACATAGCGTGTGCACAGCCCACCTGCAGGGCTGCCCGAAAGGGCCGCAGCCCGTGGACAGCTCTCCAGGTAGCAACAATTGGGACAACAGAATTTTAAGTTCTGCTTATTTGGGTTTTCCAATTTTTTATCATATTCATAAAATACACAAGAATAAAAAAAAATAACTTTTTAAACAAGTACAGCTTTCGAGGTGGTCATTCTGTAAGGAAATAACCTGGAGACATCATTGAGCCTTAGTAACCAGGCAGACACACCCCACTCGGATAACTTTGGAGAGCAGTCCTGCACACTCAAAGTATCAGGCAGAAGGCCAAGGTGGGGAGGCTGTGCTGGGCCCAGAGAGAAGCCATGAGCAACAGGAGAAGGGTGCTGAGGGCCCAAGAAGGCCAGGGAGCCCTGCAACCTGGGCAGGAGATTGGAGAGACTCAGAAAGTACAGCTTCTGAACCAAAATGTGCCTGAGAGCAAAACAGGCCCTATGGAGACCAGAACCTGCTGCCCAGGTCCCCCTGGTCCCTCCTGCCCAACCCAAAGAAAACACACGATCCTCTCAAAACCTGGGGCACCTGCCCCCTTGAGCCCCACACCCGACTTGAGGAAGCCAAGGTCGATGTCACGCTGGTGTCACCATCTCCCCCAAGTCCAGGCACACACCAACACTCAATAATGTGCATCGACCAGACAGGGAGCGTTGCCATGGAACGACAGTTCCATCAGAATTCGAGGACAAATATAAGGTAATATGCAGAAATCCTAACTCGAGGCAACTTTCCAGAAACTCAGGTCCCAAAAGTGCGTTAACTCCTCTCCGGACTCCACGTTTTGTTCAAGACCAGCCAAGAAATTCTGTGTCATGTTCTGTCTGCTTCAAGGAAAACTGCATTCTCTACTGACCCATTTATCATCCAAAAACTGTCTCCAGAAATCACCGGCCCACAACATGGAGATGCGGTGTCAGCCCGAGGGCAGTCCCCCCACACACATGCCCTCCGCTGGTGCATCTCTTCTGAAAGGTGAGGGCCTGACTGGGCTGGGCTGGTGGCCCCAGGACATGCCAAGAGGCCAGCTGTGGAGCCAGCAACACCCATGCAGATGGGCAGCAGAGAAAAGTGAGAAATCAACCTTACCAGCCTTCACTGGCAGAAAGACACCATAGGCCAAGGGCTGCCCATGGCAGAAGGGTAGGACTGCCCTGGCTACCCCCAGGGAGATGTCCAGGAAGGAGCTGGCACTGCCAGCCAACCAGTAAGTGCCAGGGCTGTCATCTCACCAGGTCTGAGCCCGTTGTGAAGAAAACTCCTTTCTTTTTAAAATGGATATCTGAAAGCAGATGTTTAAAATTTATCTTCCTCTGTTTTTTTTTTTATCCTCACCCGAGGACATTTTTCCATTTTGTGTTCAGGTAGAGTGGGAGGGAGAGAGAGGAAGAGAGAGAGAGAAACATCGATGTAAAAGGGACACATCAAGTGGCTGCCACCCGCACGACCAACCAGGGCCGGGGACAAACTGCAACCAAGGTACGTGCCCCTAGCGGGAACCGAACTAGGGTCTCTCCGGACCACAGGCCGACGCTCTAACCGCTGAGCCAAACCGGCCAGGACTTCTTCCTCTTAATGTCTAGGATGACACGCTAAGAAAGCGAAGAGAAAGGGAAGAGATCAAGAAGACGGGCTTCACGAGGGCTCTGCGCAGTCCGGGCTGGACAGGGAAGCGTGGCGTACCTGTTTGCACCTGGGAACCCTAAGGGAGAATCAGCAATTTTAAAGCTGAAAAAGACACTAAACGCAGAGATGACACAAACACACATGAACGTGATACCACCTCAAAGCACACGAAGTCAGGGCACAGCGTGTCACTCGTGAAAGAAGCAGAGAGATTCGGTGCCGCACGGTCCCGCGCTGCCGGGAAGGGGGGGCCTGGGAGACGCGCCTCGGACCCGCTCTGAGAACTACCAGTCATGGAACACCGAGATGCTCAGCACAGCAGGGCTCGGAGGCCCTGACAGCAGCCTGGAGGACGGCTGCTGGCGCACGAACCTCGGACGGGCCGCCGCGCTCTGCAGCCGCGAGCGAAGGCTTTCTACCGCTAGGCTGCAAGGGAGAGGACGCAGGCCACAAAACTGGCAGCGGCTTCTTAAGCACCCAGTAAAACCACATAATGGAAGAAAGCGCACCAGAGAGCTGACAAAATTATTTTCCTAGTGTGAAAAATTAGATGCTTTTTAGTGTTTTCTTCTAATACTCTACATTTTCTGGAACCGAGGAAAGACGCAATAGTTGGTATTAAATACAAACAAAAGACCACAAAAACCAATATATGAAAAGAGACACCTGCCCACCTGAAGGCAGAGAGAGGGAACCTGTGGTGGAACCAGGGTCCAGGGTCCAGGGTCCAGGCAAATGCCAAGGGGAAGGCTGCCATGGCCTGTGGGCACCCTGCGCTGGCAGTCTCAGGACGCAGCCTGTCACAGAACACGCCTACCCTTCCACTGGGATAACAAAATGACCCAGAACAAGGCCCCAAGAAGACCCCAAGGAATCAGAGATCAGGCAGCTCTTAAGGGAAAGAGACAAACACCACAGCAGAAGGAATGGGACCTTGGGTGCCGCCTAGGGTGTCTGAAATGGCTCAGGTGCTTCTCAGGGAGGCCGCCTTCCGCAGTCACCCCACCAGCCCCAGCCTGGGTCTCTCGGAACACCTGGGACACAACTCCTGGCCAAGTCACTCGCCTCTAGCAACACAACTAGAAACGCAGCCCAGGGCCCACAGCGGGACTGGGAGACAAGGGGTGGGCTCGGTGCTGGGTGGACAGCCTCAAACTAAACAGATGAGAGTGAGCCCTGGCCAGTTTGGCTCAGCAGTTGAGCATCGGCTTGCGGAACAGAGAGTCCTGGGTTCGGTTCCTGCTAGGGGCACGTACCACAAATAAATAAATATATATAAAAAAAATAAAAAATAAATAAATAAGCAGATGAGAGTGAGACAAGATGTCTCGCAGAGGGGAGCCCAGGACTCCCCACCGAGGCCAGAGGGAGGACACCCCTTCCCAGGCTTCAGCAGCCCATCTGGACCCACAGCTGCTGCACAGCTGAAGCAGAGGCGGACGGAATCCATGGCGGGGAGGGGACAGTGGATGAATGAGTGCTGGTGACACGTGGAGAAGGACATTCAGGGGCTGAAGCAGGAAAGAAGCTCAAACGGTCCCTGAAGGAATGAACAATGTGACAGCAGGAGGAGAAGCAGTAGGATCTGTAGAGACAAAGCGAGCTGCATGGAATGCACAGTGAGTCTGCAAGGCGCCGGCAAGGCCCCAGAGCCTCCCAGGCCACATGAGGGCCACAGAGCAGGTGTACAAACACACACCGTGTGGAGGCAGGGCACCCAGCAACACAGTCTTGTCTGTCTCTGCCGACACAGAAACCTGCCTTACCTTACTGGCAAACGGGGCCACTGCTGTCCTGAGTTCTGACTGAGGAGGACAGGAAGCCACAAACCGCCTTGGGACAAGGCCTAGCCGGCAGACCCTCAAACGGCAGGAAAGCAGAGCTCACACTGGCAAGGCCAGGGCTCGAAGCCACCAAAGACACACAGCTGGGAAACAACAGATCCAAACCGTGCGGCTGCAGGTGAGCCCAGGGGTGCACAGCCGGGAGCTACGTGCAGAGCTCTCCAACGAGTTCCTACTGAGAGGAGTCCCCTCAGCTGCATCAACCTGCACAGCAAATATTAAAAACCTTAAACACAGAATCCGTTTCTTGTTTAAAAAAATACTAGAGGCAACAAAAGGTTAAGACTCTCTCAATGAGATTAAGGAGAAAACTAAAGAAGGGAGTGGCCCAGGACTTAAAAAAAGTCATATTAAAAAAACAAACAAACAGAACAACTCTTATTTGCTTCCAACATGTACATTAAGTATGATCTAGGGCCCTGGCCGGTTTGACTCAGCGGTTAGAGCATAGACCCACGGACCAGAGAGTCTCAGGTTCGATTCCAGTCAAGGGCACGTACCTGTACCTCCTTGCGGTTTGATCCCTGACCCTGGGGGTCTTGCGGGAGGCAACCAATCGATGTGTATCTTTCTCACATCGATGTTTACCTCTCTCTCTCTCTCTCTCTCTCTCCGTCCCTCCCTCCCTCCGTTTCTGAAAATTAATGGAAAAATATCCTCGAGTGAAGATTAAGAAAAAAAGAAGTATGATCTACAAACCAGAAATCCTAACACACAAGTCAAAAAGGAAACAGTCAGATGGTCCTGACTGCTGGAATTTTACATCTTCAGGACCCAGACAAACACCACAGGGCATCATAACCACCACCCCACAGAAGCTCAGAAAAGCTGTAAAACCTGAAAGATCAGACATGAGCAGCTTCTTACATGCTTTTGATAAATGGCCTTTGTTGGCAGGTCTTTCATATTGCCTCTGTCACAAAAGCTTAGTGTGATGAGGACAGTGAGCCACTGTCTGCCCTGCACCCCATAGGTAAGGGCAGCTCGAGGCACGGTGACAGCTCTCTGCAGGGCCTGCCCCTGCCAACTCCCAGCACAGGAGACACTTAAGAGATCACATTACAACCACATTTACAATGACCTCCACAGGACAGGACACTGAGCCAAGCCCACCAGCTAGGGTGAAGCAGGTAAGGGTAGGTGTGAATGCCAGGCTGCCGCGCAGACAGCAACCCCAGCAGCACATGAGGGGGCAGCCCTTGGTCGCTGCCCACTGCTCAGAGTGAGAAGTGTGACATGTCACCAGAACAAGTGAGAGCACCCTCACCTGCCCATAAAGAAAATGCCCTTGCCCAAGACCTTCCATGAGGTCAGTGCCTGGACCTCCGGCACCCATTGGGCACAGTGCCACGCTGGCTACAGCCTTGGAGCACCTCAGAGGATCAGCACCAGGGCCAACAGCCAGAGCCTGGGAACGGGTTAAACTGAACAGCTGGACCCAAGGTTGCTGAACATCAGGTTGAGGTAACAGACACAGGATGCCTAAAGGGCCACAGAAGCTGAGAACAAGCTGCCAGGAACTGGCCTGCCATGGAGTCTCGTACTGCCCTTTCTTACTGCTCAGCCCTGAGCACACCCCCATGCCACGGTCCTCCCGCAGCCTGCACTTAGCTCTTCCATCTCCAGGCCCCATTTTATAAGTTCCATGCCCCTCAAAGCCCCTGACCCACCAGCCTGTCTGTGTCTCACCTCATGTCCCTTTAGTGCAGACGCCAAGCTGCAGGACTAGCTGCCGGAAGGCAACGTAGTGTTCTGAAGCTGGAGAGTAGAGAGTACAGACTGGTCACTTTTTAGAGACCTTTCCATTTAAAAGTAATCGATGGATGCCCTCTCCAAGAAAGTAACTGTCTCCTGATCTGGAGAAAAGGTGGCGCAGGCAGCTCTCTACCTTGGAATGAATGAGGTGGGTCTCGGGAGTCCACCGGAAGGCAAGGGAATTCCTGTGCTCAGTCCTCCACCTGCCTTTTCTCTATCCCACTTGCACACACACCCTCTCCTTGGGCACAGCGAAGACCTGAAAGGCTGCCTTCCAGGATTCTCTCCTCCTCCCTGGTCCTCAAGGTCCAGGTAAAGCACAAAGTCTTCTTCATGCCCAAGGGGCACAGTCCTCCATTTACTCAGTGCCTTCATGTGATAGGAACATTTTCTTATAAGACTACTTGCAATGATAATCTTCAAGTTTAAATGATGAGCTAGTAACACCAGGCAGGCATGAGCATAGTAGAACAAATTTAGATTTAAAATAAAGAATGAAGAACATAGGTCCAGAGTAGTCTGATGACTAAGTTTAAAAGTTAAAAAGAAAAGGGAAAAACCCCACAACCCCAACAACAGGAGCTGTGCAACAAGGGAGGTGACCAGACTGCCCAGAGAGTGGACAAGTGCTTGTCAGGGATGGTGGAGCAGGCAATGAGTGCCTGATGTCTCTGATCTCCCAACTTGGAGCCCTATTATTCCAAGTCTGGAACTTGCTCCTTTGTCTGACACCACTTTTGAAACTCGGTACATTAGCCCCCACTAAAAAAAGGCTTAGCTTTACACAAGATGAAGATACATCAGCCAGGCCCGGCTGGTGTGGCTCAGTGGACTGAGCGTCATCCCATGGACTGAGAGGTGCCCCCATGTTTTCTGGTCAGGGTACATGCCAGGGTTGTAAACGTGATCCCCAGTAGGGAGCATAAAGGAGGCAGCCGATCCATGTTTCTCTCTCACATCAATGTTTCTCTTTCTCCCTTCTTCATTCTGTAAAAAAAAAAATCGATAAAAACATATTTTATAAAAAAGCAAATCTTACTAAGGAATTGGAAGATGAGTATGTGTTTTGTAAAAGGGCTTGTGGGTCACCACAATAACCCAACAACAAAAGGGACTCACGCTGAAATATCCCATGCTTCGCCTGATCTTGAAACACAATGGGGCCCAGCTGACCGCATTAAGAACAGCTTCACATTAAGCTTTGTCCATTACTAATTCATCTAAAGATCTTGAGCAAAGCCTATAGTCTCAGTTCTTAAGTTTCCCGACTGTGCTAATGGGTAACAAAATGCAAAGGGCCAACACAGGGGTCACCTGGGTGACTGTGGCTCACCCTACAGCTGACCCAGTGCACCCAGCACTGGAATGGCACAGCCAGGCACCACCCAGGGCCTGCACCACCCCTTCCGAGCTCTTGGACTTGGTCAGGTATCTGAACCTCACTTGCCAGGTCTAACTTGTCCAGCTCCTGCTCACCTCATCTTTCTGGCAATTCCACAAAGAGGATTCTGTTACGAGTTCACTTTGCAAATGCAGAAATGGAGCCTGGGCAAGGCAGCAGTGGAACTGGGATTCTGCCCAGTTCTGTGGGACTCCAACACCCATGCTCTTAACCCTGCCCCTGCCATCACATTCCTGCCGCTGGCATCAGACAGCGGGTGCCAGACAGATCTGGGCCTTCGCGGGAATCCGCAGGCTTCTCCTCCGCGAGTCGCCGCCCTGGGAGTCCTCACTGCGCTCTCTAAACTCCCACCCAAGGGAGAGGAAGAACGGGAGGACCGAGAAAGGGAAAGTCTTCCAACTCGGAAAGGTTCTGCAAAAGAACCTGCGGGCAATGCTCCATTATCGACCGCAGCGGACAGCCTTCAGGCGTCTGGTACCGAGCTCCGACGGCGCGGAGGCGAACGATGACCGGGGTGGTGACACCGGAGGCCGCGGGGTTCGCTCCGGGAGAGGGAGTGACGCCCGGGTGCGCCGAGCCGACCGAGAAGGGGGGGTGACCCGGAGCAACGCCGCACCGACCTGACGGGGTGACACGGGAGGACGCAGCTCCGGCCTGGGGGAGGGGTGCCGACGTGGGGACGCGGAACTGACCCCACGGGGGAGGGTTGTGACACTGTGGGGATGCGGAACTGACCTGGGGGTTGACACCGGGGTACGCGGAAATGACCCAGGGGAAGAAGGTATGGGAGGACGCGGACCGATCGGGACCAGGGATGATGCTGCGGAGGCCGCGGGAACGAGCCGGGCCAGGGGGAGGGTCCCGGACCGCGTCGACCCCGTGTCACTCACCTGCGCGTGGGCCACAACCAGGCTCTTGTTACCTTCGCCGTGGTACCCCCATTCATTCTCGTCCATCTTTGCCTTGTCCATCCCCCAGTGCGGCCCTGGCGCCTCGCAGGGCCGCGAGCTGGGGGTCGCCAGTCCGTCCAGGCACCAGCCGCCACCGTCGTCGGAAGAGGTGCGCGCGTCAGCCGCCGCCTACGCTGGACCCGGCCACACCGGACTCGCAGGCGCGGGCCGCCGGAAGTCACGCCTCTCGCGGCCGCCATGGCGGAGCCGGGCAACTTCCGGGTTAGCGCCCGCTTCCCCGCCATTGGCTACGGCGGCGGCGGGCCGGCGGCCATGTTAGGTGCTGGCACGGCGACTCACTTCCGGAGCGCCATCCCGAAGACGTGAGTGGCGTTTCCACCGAGCGCCGGAAACGAGGCGAGCGGAGGAGCCCGCTGTGGCGCCTCGGCCCGGGAGCGGGAACGGGGATTCAAGCGTACCTGGGGTGGAGTGGTACCCGCGGCCAGGATAGGGAGCCGAGGGTCGCCGGACAGCAAAGTCTGTGCCTGGATTGACTTTTCCCTGGAGATGTCCGGGGGTCGCAGTACCACTCTGTTCTGTTCCGTGGGTATGTGTTTTTGCCAGGACCCCGCTAGCTGGATGACTGTAGCTTTATAGTCTTGAAGGCAGTCTTCGTCCTGCCTTCGTCTTCCGGGAGACTAGAGAATCCGTGTCATCTGTTCCTTGCGCGTTTGCTGGGCTTGACCAGTGAACGCACTCGGCCGGGTGCTTTCTACTTTCGGAAGGGTAATGGTTTTGTGGGAATGGTTGTTCATAGTATTCCTCCACGACCCTTTGATGTCCTTTGGGTCTGTGCTGATGTCCCCTTTTATTTCTTGTATTAGCAACTTGTCTTTTTTTTTTTCTTAGCCTTGTTAGAAGCTTGTCAGCTTTAGTGCTCTTTTCATAGAACCAGCTGTTCACATTGTGTTGATTTTTCTCAATTAATTCATTTACAATTTCATCGATTCCGCTCTCGTTTTTGTTATTTTGCTTATGCTGACTTAGGGTTTAACGTGCTTTATCTTTTAATAGTTTCCTAAAGTGGAACTATAGATGATTGGTTTTAGTTTTTTTTTTTTTACTATGCATTCAATGCTATAAATTTTCCCTCAAAGCACTTCTTTAATGCATAACACTAAAACACTAATTGTGGTGAATTGTCTTTTCATTTTAGTTTTCACTTAATTCGAATTATCTTAAAATTTCTGTTGAGCTCTGGCCCATGCATGTGTTCTTACATGTTGTCCACTTTTTCCATTACAGTCGTCCCTCGCCACTTCGAGCTTCCTTTCGCAGCTTCACTCTATTGCAGTTTTTTCACATATATTCATTAAAAAGTTGAGACAGTGAAAATGATACAGCGTGCACTTCAGTTGTCTGAGTCAATTATACACCCCTGTATTACAATTAAAATTACTGTACGTATGGACTGTAGGCCTATGTATTCGCGCACTCCAGGAATCCTTCAAGGCCAGGTGCACTCCTTGTGTGTGGGCAATAACTTTTTTCCAAAAATGGGGTGTAGTGAAACCAAGCCAATCAGAGTGTGCTGTGCACTGACTGGCTATCCTGTCCTCTTCCTATCCTGGCCACTGATTGGCTCAGCTTCATGCAAGTTCATTTCTCTCATACACACTTCTAAATCGCTACACATTGGAAGCATCTTTGCTCTTGCATTTGCGATTTCTGAGAACTTTTATCTAAGCCCCACAATGGCTCCTAAACGTGCTACTTCTTCTAAGCCTTCTGACGATGAAACTAAGTGCCAGAGAAAGATGCTTACCATCTACGAGAAGGTGAAACTCTTGGATATGATCAAAGATGGCAAGAAAATCGTGGAGGTTGCCCACCATTACGACTTAAATGAGTCTATCGTCTGCTCTATCTGTGAAGATGAAAAGAACATCCGTGCAACGGCTACTGTCTCTTTCAACAAGGAAGCAAAGTGCATCGTGACAAGTTGTAATAAGTTCTTAGTGAAAACATAGTCTGCCCTAGCTGTTTGGATCAGTGACAACCACAAGAAAAACATTCAGTTGGATTCACTGGTCATCCAGGAGAAGGCTGGCAGCTCTCTCTCAGCGCTTTACGGCAGATGAACCTCAACCAGGACCCTCTTCTGCAACTTTCATGCATTTCACGGCGAGCAAGGGTTGGTTCAAGAAGTTCCAGAAGAGGTGTCATCTGAAGAGTGTCGTTCTCCATGGACAAGCGGCCTGCGCTGACTAGCCTGCAGCAGGGGACTACGTGAACAACACATTCCAGAAGATCCTTGAGGAGGGCGAGTATCATCCAGAACAGGTGTTCAATATGGATGAAACTGAAAAAGAATGCCTTCCTGGGCATTCATTTTCAAGGATGAGGCCATGGTCCGTGTGAGTGAGGAAGAGGAAGAGCAGCCAAAGGTTCCTGGGGGTCAGGAGGAGGAAGTTGGCCTTACACTTGAGCGTCTCTCGCAAGTCATGAGAACTGTTAAGGTAGCACAGGACGTGATTGGTGAATGGGACCCACAAATGATGTGTGCATTGTGGTTCTGGAATGCACTTATGGAGCAATAGAACTCTACAAAAGCCTCCTTACGCATGTGAACAGACAGCACCAGCAACTGCCTATCAACGATGTTCTTCAGCCGCACACCCAGATACCCACTGTCTTCTCTTAGTACTCCTTCAGTGGTAGAAGACGAACCACCTGCTGAAGATACTGCACCACTTGAAGACTCTCCTGAGGTCATGCCTTCAGAGGAGCAGTAACCTTGATCTTTGCTGTGCAGTACATCTCTTCATCTTCATTGCTTCATCATCAAACAAGTTGCACTATTTTTTTTTATTTATGTTTTGTTTAGGTGGCTGTTTATTTTTTTAAATTTTATTTATTTTTTTATCTTTATTGTTGAATGTATTACAGATGTTCCTCATTTTTCCCCCATTGACCCTCTTCTCCCCACTCCCACCCCCTTCCTGCCTTTTCCCACACTGTTGTCTGTGTCCATTAGTTATGCATATAAGTTCTTTGGTTTATTTCTTCCCATCCCCCAACACCCTTCCCTTTGAGGTTTGTCAGTCTAGCAACCAATTTGTACTTCTTAATCCCTTCACCTTTTTCACCCATTCCCCCAACCCCCCTCCTATCTGGCAACCAACAAAATGTTCTCTGTATCTATGAGAATGTTTCTGTTATGCCTGTTCATTGTTTGTAGATTCAATTGTCGATAGATATGTATTCATTACCATTTTGTTTGTTCATACATTTTATTTTTTTCTTCAAAAAGACCCTTCAGCACTGGCCGGTTTGGCTCAGCGGTCAGAGCGTCGGCCTGCGGTCCAGAGAGACCCGGGTTCGGTTCCCGCTAAGGGCACGTACTTCAGTTGCAGTTTGTCCCCAGCCCTGGTTGGTCGTGCGGGTGGCAGCCACTCGATGTGTCCCTTCATGTCGATGTTTCTCTCTCTCCCTTCCTCTCTCTCCCTCCCACTCTATCTGTACAAAAAATGGAAAAATGTCCTCGGGTGAGGATAAAAAAAATAAAATAATAAAATAAAAAAAATAAAAAAGACCCTTCAACATTTCATATAATACTGGTTTGGTGGTGATGAACTCCTTTAACTTTTTCTTGTCTGGGAAACTCTTTATATGGCAATCGATTCTAAATGACTGCTTTGCAGGATAGAGTAATCTTCGTTGTAGGTTCTTGCTTTTCATCACTCTGAATATTTCTTGCCACTCCCTTCTGGCCTGCAAACTTTCTTTTGAGAAATCAGCTGACAGTCTTTTTTTTTTGTGATACGTGCCCCTAGCGGGAACCAAACCCAGGACTCTGTGGTCCGCAGGCCTACGCTCAATCAAAGAGCCAAACTGGCCAGGGCTCAGCTGACAGTCTTATGGGAACTCCCTTGTAGGTAACTAACTGCTTTTCTCTTTTAAGATTCTCTCTTTGTCTTGAACCTTTTGCATTTTGATGATGATGTCTTGGTGTGGGCCTCTTGGGGTTCGTCTTGTTTAGGACTCTGAGCTTGCTGGACTTGTATGTCTATTTCCTTCACCAAGTTAGGGAAGTTTTCTGCCATTATTGTTTCAAATGGGTTTTTGATTTCTTGTTCTCTCTCTTCTCCTTCTGGCAACCCCAAGATGCAAATGTTGGCACACTTGAAGTTGTCCCAGAGGCTCCTTACACTATCCTCATTTTTTTGGATTCTTTTTTCTTTTGGCTGTTCTGATTGGATGGTTTTTGCTTTCAAGTCAATGGTTTACTTTTTGGCTTTACCTACTCTACTACTGAATCTGTGTAAATTATTCTTTATTTCAGTTAGTGCCTCCTTCATTTCTGACTGGTCCTTTTTTATGCTCTTGAGGCCCTCACTAAGTTCGCTGAGGTTCTCACTAAGTTCACTGAGCATCCTTATAAGCAGTATTTTGAACTCAGCATCTGTTAGGTTGCTTGTCTCCATTTCACTTAGTTCTTTTCCTGGGGTTTTTTTCTGTTCTTTCATTTGGGGCCTGTTTCTTTATCTCTTCCTTTTGGCTGCCTCCCTGTGTTTGTTTCTGTGTATTACTTAATGAGAGGTGTGGGGCTAGCTGAGACCAGATGCTGCTTGTTTGGAAGAATTTAGGAAAACCTGAAGCAGGATCCAAGACAGGCCAATTCTATGGTTAAGCAACTGGCAACAGCTTGGGTGGGCCTGAAAGTTGGGTGGGGCGGGGCCTCAGGGAGTCACCAGGGCAGGACTACCAGTGTGAGCCAGGTTGCTGAGTCCCGGATATGGCGGATGTCTGCAACCCCAGGGAAGGGCTCACCAAAGGAACAAACGCCTCTGACAGCACATCTCTCCAGGAGAAAGCCCCCTCTCCAGCCCTCGCTCCAGTGCCAAACAGCTCAGTTCTTCCCTGTATGTCTCTGGTGCCCCTCGAGCTGCCTCCCCTCCGAGCTTAGAGGGAGAGAGTCCGATAAGTTCGTGTGCGGGCCCTTTAAGGAGCTGCCTGGGGCTCCAGCCGCCTCAGCCTCCCTGAGCCTCAGCTCCCGCTGGTTTCTCCAGCCAAAAATGATGGGGATTCTCTTCCTGGCACTGGAACCCTGAGCGGGGCACCTGGTGTGGGACGGGGACCCCTCA